TAGAGCCCCTATGGGGCAACTGTAACAATATTCATCCACTTAGTACTTATGCATAAACTTACCTTTTTTTCTTCCTGTATTAGGTAACATTGATGGCAAATGTGTTTCGAAAAATTCGCAGGTTACATGAGATAATGATTACAATACCAATCCGAGCAATTACGTAGTCGCATTGTGTTAAACGTCCATTCAGTCTACAAAAACCCAACGTTGACTGTCTCTCTCAAAAAGAGAATATGCTCTGTGATGTATAATTTAAATGATTATTTCACATGCGTCTAGACGGACCTCGAATAACGTAAATATGAGAAGGAAAAAATATAAATTTTGTATAATACGCATCTAGATATTGTTTTTGAGTTTGAGCAAATATCTGCTATTATCTATTCTTTTCGTACTAAAGAAACTAAACAAAATTAAAAACTTAATTTTTTGTCCAAAAGTGACGGTTTAATATATTTGTAGCCAACGCGGGCTTTTGAAGAATCTGGACAAGGCTTCTGTAAGGCCGAGCGAAAGATCCTCAATGGGGTTCGAATTTGAGGGCTTCTAAAGATCACCGAAATGGCTTAAAAAGACTGTTTTGATACACCTAGGTCTTTCATATAGCAGTGAATGGCCATTTTACCATGTTGCCAGTGATGTCGTCCAGATAAGCTGCAACAGTCGGCCTTGTTGAGACTTTTTGCGCTTATTTGCACATTTTAGAACTTTTAGCTATTTTAAGCCCTTACACTTTTGGGACCATCGACTTCTTCAAAGTTTAATATCAATCTTTTGAATGTAGCCTATCTGAGTGACACCTTGACGGGTTTACATCGATTATTATCGCTTGAGGTGGGTTTATTATATTATTAGTTATTATAAAAGGTTATTTGTGGACTAAGGAAATAACACATAGAAAATGACCAATGGGTCGTTTAGTTTCCGAATTTAAGCTGTAATCACAGTGGATGACAACAATGATAACTATGGCCGTCCGAAACGACATCGTCAGTAAATACGAACATCTTGCTGAAATATCTATTTTGTTGCTTAGAAACAAAAAAGAACAATTCTTATTTTAGACGCTTATATATATATATATATATATGTTGTCACGACGCTTTTGTACTATTACTAATAAGGCGTTTAGCTGTCTTCACTCGCCTATGTTAGTTTGTATCGACGCAAAAATCGAAGAGGTGACCGAGTAGTGAGAAATGTTAATTCGCGTTGATATCGTGAAAAAGACGACGTCGTTTTTCGAAGGGTCTTCAACAAACCACTTGCCATGAGCCTTAATGTTTTAGTAAACCCATCGTTGGTTGTTCCTGTCTATCTATGTGTATCTCTTCTATTTAAGTTGACGCGCGATTAGCTGACGACAGATCTCTACGGTTCGCCAATCTATCCGACGCCTTCTATGCCTCGTTTCGGCTTCTTTTGTACCATCATTTTACCCTACGACTTCATTCCTCGTCATCAGAAATTTTTATTGTCGTCCATTTTCAGCGTTTCTGATTCATTTCTCTCTCTTTCGCTCTTTTGACCTTTCAGATTTCATTTACTTTGACTCTTCTCGATCGTTTACTACAAAGGCGTTGCTTTTCCCATTAGTTGTCAGCGCTCACGTCCATACCCTTCGCTAACTTTTTTCGATGCATAGTATTTCTTTTATCGGAATCGTTAACCCAGTTAGATTCCTAGTCTTCATCGTTCCTGCCTCTTATCGTTTATACACAGCACTTTCAGTCTCCTTGAGCCCATATCTTACGACCTATATCAGCAGTCGTGTTCAGCCACGCACGTATCCGTTATAGAAAGATCCCATGTTGACCTGTTAACGGCCTGCGTCTAACGTGCGATGTAATGTGTAAACGGCTTAACAATATAACAGCGAGCGGTGAGCTTAGCCCTTTTCTATAGTCAGATCACTGTACGCGTACAGGGTGACAGCCGAAAAGCTTGGAACAATTCCTAGTTTGTCAGAATATCTTGATTTAGTTGTGTAGAACATTTTGTCGTGACTATTCCAGCTTTACTCAGCCCTATTCACGTCTGATGTCGGTCGCAGTCATGCAGTAAGACTCATCTAGAAGCGTGCTCAGTCACCCAAATGGTGATCCTCACATTCTCTACGAGTGCCATACTAAGCACGAAAGCATCCACATAAACATGGCGACGGGTTTCTCTCTCTCGCATTATATATACTTCTTCTCTTCGGACTCTTTCACTTTGTCGAGTTATCTACTCTCAAGTTGGCAGCGGCATTGGCCCGGTTCGTGCTTGGAGGTCCTATAGCTGGACGGCGACAGCTGTCACGCTAGAACTAATGCCGCCTGATGTCGTCCAGTGCCATACGTATTGTGTGGCAGCAAGTGGCTGGCTGGATGCTTACATGACTCGTGCTGCTGCTGCTGCTCCTGTTATCACCAGCATCTCGAGCAATGCTACCATTGTTTTCAACAAAGTGGCGCAAAGCACACCGCACTTCAGAAGCCATTTGAATTAGCTGAGCAAACCACGAGAGCGGGATAATACATAGAGATAGAGAGACCGTTCGGGCTAAACGCGCTATAGTGAGTGCAACTATTGGCATGGCGTCACACTGCTAATAACAAATTAGCCGCTATACATCTGTTTGTATTGCTGCCTGACTTTTACGAGCTCAGCGGTAGTCGAATCGTGGAAGTACGAACAAAGGCGCAGTAAAGATCAGTTTTCAGGCGAACGGATCGTTACATTATTATAGCTTCCATGCAAAAGCACACCTCGTACAGTACTGTTTTATTGAGCGGATAAGCTCCCAAACCAGCTGGCATATGTATTGTACATGATGATGCCACTGGTAGTGTTCCTATTCGCTTTCCTCCCGTTCTTGCAGTCAATCTCGGCCCCTGCTTGCGGACGCTCAGCAGCTCGCTTATCCATTTCTAGTAGTTTAGTTCGTTTTGTGCAGATCAGAGATTACGCCGGAGCATGCACGTGGGGTGAGCGGTAAACGGGTGGAAACACACCCGACCCAGCCTACAACCCGCACTACGTCGCTTGAGTTTGTTCTGCTCTGCTGGCCTGACGGAACGGGAGGGACTTTGCGACGCATTCGGTTCAGACTGCTCCGCTGCGACAACTAATACTACTACTGATTCTGCTGGAGAGGGAACGGGAAAATGAAGGTAGAGCCTACACGTTTCGTCAAATGTTGCCATCGCTCGAACCGCCGCTGCCAGCACTAGACCGGCAAAGCATCCTTACTATGCGTCGCGGTGAGTTTCGTCTGCTGTCCTTGGCCGTTCTTTTTCTCCCTTCTCTTAATCACCGTCATCGTCCGTGTTTGCCTAGAAAGCATCTATTGGACCTTATCTCTTTGCTTACTATCCTCCAGATTTGTCTGCCCGTTTGCACTCGATTCTGCGGCGACCTGCCGCTCATCTCATCCAGCCTCATTCACCAGCCCTCAAGCACAGCGCCGACATTGGACCATCTGCCCGCTAGGCCTCTTTGAGTATCCGTTTATGTTCCTATGCAGAATTCCCAGATGTCGTTTGTGTTTCCAGTAGCGCACGTTCAACACACTGGCCGGTCGTTCCCCTTTCAGCTTAACAGCATGCTGGTCGCATGTATTCCGACAGTGCCCCGAAAAGTATGATGCATCAAGTAGCGACCTCAGTTGACGGCTAGCCAGCGTAAGCATAGGATGGACTTCAAAGCTAGCAAACAAGCCGTGCTTTGGGTTGGGTAGAAGGTCGGCTGCACCCCGCTGTGGCCGCGATTCTGCTTTGCCTTGGTCTCGCTCGCTCTTTCTTTCTATTCGTCTCCTGCTTTTAAACTTACAATTCGAAGGTACCGATAGCAGGGGACGATTGGCGGCCGTACCGTAGAAATAGGAGGTAAACATGGCGAAAGGGGCCAGTCAGCTGCTGAGAAAGTCGGGCCGAAAGTAGCCACGTACATGCACGAACGTGGCTGATGATCCTTCTGGTCGGCTCGCGTCGTAGCAGTCTCCGTGAGGAAAACATCACGTATCAGAGCTGCTCAGGCCAATGTATTTTTCTTTGTTTGCCTGCGTTATTGGCTAGTGGTATAGCTGTAGGCTACGGTTACTGACAGATTCTTAAATTCGTTTTAGCTGTACAGTGTGCTTTTGAAAGGAATAGTGTTGAAAAAGAAGAAAAAGACCTACTTGGAAGGTTCCTGCGACCGTTGCAACTCGCAAAGGAAAGCCCGGTAAGCATCTTTCTACTCGGCTAATGTGCCGTGTTAGTAAGGTTCACCACTCACTTAATATAGACTCTCAGATCCTTTCAATGGCCTTTGAAGTATCAAAAAAATTCTACATACTGTAAAATTCTGGCAATACACCAGCAAATGCATTCAACTGACTGCAAAGAACTATTTTTTCTGAAAACGTCTGCGTAGAACTCGGGCATTTCGGAAATACTTTCCTTTTTCACGAAACCTGTCTTGCCACACAATATTGGAACTTATCCAAAAACCAGGTCGAAAAAGCAAGAAAACTACCAATATAGTTCGTTATAAAGCACTCGTTCCGGTATCATCTTATACTATAACGGTGGAACAAAGGAAACTAAGGCACTGCTACTCCGTGTATGGCTTTCATAGAAAGTTGTATACAACGATCATCTTTTTCTTCACAAGGACAAAATGGTCACTGCAACAGGATGTCACGTGCCTTAGCGGTTTGACGACACATTGACGTCTTTGGTTCCCCCTTCTTTCACTCAGGTTCTTGATAAGGTTGAAGATTCGTGTCGAACAAATATCTAGATAGATGGCTCCCTGCCCCCTCCCCCCCTAGTAGCTTGTCGGCAGGAACGCAGTGGCGACTCATGATGATTGCCGCGACGAACGGCAACCGGAAAGCCCATCGTTCTCTCCCATCTTCGCGTTTCCACAATTTCCCTTATCTTTTGGGATAGTTTCTAGTAAGGCAGTGTCTGCCCGCAACGCGCGGACCAGCCCTAGCATTCTGGCGATCCTACTTGGCTGCATGTCGATATTTTCATCTCAAGTAAGACGAATGGTGCGTTTCGAACAATGGTGAAATATTACATCAGCTCCTACTCATAGGCATGCCAGCCAGCCATTTACTCGCCTTGATGTTGTGTTGCCACCGCCATGTTGCCCGTTCACTGGTCGGACGAAAGACGAACGGTATTTGGCAGAGAACAAAGTAAAACCGGGTAAGCGATTTTCGACCCGCCAGCATTGCTTCCAACGAGCTTCTGATAGTTGGTTGTATGGCAGACAGGGAAAGCACGAGGACGCGGCAAGAGAGAATTCGCAATGGCCGGTTAACGCGACAATGGAATCATCCTTCCACTTATCCCTTGCAGACTCTCCTGTACCGCGACGTATCCTTGCCTAACACAAGCGAATATGCACGCGCGGTGGCCTATATCTTTTGCTGTCTTGCAATGTCGAGTAGATACGTAGACTGTCCCCGACCCTTGGTCTACTCTCACCACTCGAGGATGTTTCCGGGAAATAAATTACATACTTACGGTAAATTTCGAAATGTCAACTGGCCGCATACATAGGGAAACCGACGCCTACGGCAGATAAGTATACGCTACTTCTAATTTCTTCTCCTCACGCTTAGTGCTTTAATATCAGCGGCGCCCTGAAGGTTTCCACGCCGTTACACAAGAATACATTTAAAGTTGCTCTACAAGACAAATTCAGCTGGTACATCGTATACTTCTCGGTATCTTATATTTAAACACGACAATGCGGTGACATTTCATGACCAGATTGAATATAGTCAATCTTGAACTAAATTTAGGATAAACAAATACAAAATATGTAAATAAATACAGAGTAAGTCTTTGTGCCGGTTTAGAATAATACAAACAAATTAAATCGACTTTTATGTCACTGCTAAGCAAAACATATAGTTGCCCCTGTGGCCAGTTAACGTTTTGATTATATTCACTTAAAAAGCCTATAACGACCCCCCATTGGTATATTTGATAAAAAGCATATTGGCGAGCAATTACAAGTACATATTGTCATCTAAGTAAAAAAAAAAAAAAAGTATTAACCGGATTGAGGCTAAAACTGAAACAAATAGTATTTTCAAATTACATACCGCTGTTGAGATCGATGAGCTTCTGTCACCTCTCTATTAATACCATAATCCGATCAGTGTAACTTTCGTATGATTTCATATAGTGAAAAATTGTGACAAAATGCTTTTTACATTCCTCCATTTAGGGAGTTTTGCAAAGACTGGAACAGATGGTAGGCTGATAGTGCAAGGTTCCGCCTCTACAGCAAATACATGAAATTTTCCCATCTCAATTCTCGCAGTGTTTGCCCGATCGCTAGAGATGTGTATGATCCGATATTATTATAGCGGAAGATGATCCCTTTTCTAATAACTAATTTCAACCAGTTTTTTCCAACGGCATGTATCGTAATAATGTTTGCATTAGGGGGTCCGAATCAGTTATTTTTCCAACTAGCATCAGTAGAGCAGCACCTCTTTGGCGTAAGTCCAAACTCTGCCATAAATCATTAAACACATTTTTCCATCTGTTTTTGTTTTTTGTCTATATGATACGGAGCCATCTAGCTAAAAATACTTCTTCAACAAGCAAATATAATTGCAGCGTGCAACATCTAGTCGAAGTTCAGTATTATCATGCTCGCCTGTACACGAAGGAAGTTCCCGCACGGTTCCCCTGCTCGTTGAACAGCCTGTACGGATTAACCACACGCATCAAGCTACTGAGAGCGAGGATCAAAGGGAGGTGAACTGACGATCTATTGATACTGCACCTGCCGTTTTGGTAACCTGCAGCTGGACAGTGCAGCCGGCCTCATTGTTTGTTTTACGTTACCTACTGAACGTCCTCCACCTATCGCGCAACTGTTGTGCTGACGAGGAAAAGCCCTAGAGTGATAGAAAGCTTTTGCGAAACATTGTCGAGGTACTAGACTGCCACATAGATTTCTCATATACCCATCGATTCTTCTACGAGCCTGCGCATTAAAAAGAAAGGATGAAAAGATTCTAGAGGCATGTTCAAACAGCTATGGCCTAGCGGAGAGAAACAACGCACGTAAGCAGATAAAGCTACTTCGTGCACGCAAATTCCGGCTGACCGTCGACTGCATGAAACATACATACATGTAGCGCCGTATATGGACTGTGTATAAATTATCCTTTAAGGTCTCTGGACATAACGAGAAGCCGCAATATAAGCCATTTGCGACCGACCTTTCAGTTATTTTCCTTTCCTTCATTCTCCCCTCTCTGCGTTTGCTCTATCTTCGTTTCAGGTTCTGCTTTGAAGGAGTGCTGATCGTGCTGTGAGTAATGTTAGTGCCTCCGGGAATCGCTTCGACTGGGGCATCAGCTACGCTATTGGCTTCAGCTAGGCACTGGTGGGCACCGCGCCTCGCATTGGCGTTGGCTCAACGTGTTAGTTCATTCGTTCTTGCTGTGTTCATCTGCAACCTATTGCTGCCACCTATTGTTCTAATATGTTCGCTATAATTAAGTCTTCTTGATAATCTAGTTACCCCCCATCGATAGAATAAACAACTCCAGGACAAACGCGACAATGGCCGTAGTCCTTTGCAGCTAGCGAATCACCTGCACTTCCTGGAGGTAGCTTCGTCCGTCTGTGTGCCAATCAGAAAGAGAGGTGAGTGAGAGTGGAAAGAAAGGTCTCGAGTTTTGGTGATCGAGCGGTTGGCCACTCGCTGGGTCGCTACTTCGGTTTGTCTGCGACGAAAGCCTTCTCTTAAGACAGCCTTTCGTTCTTCAGGCTTGAACAAGGCTTTTCTATTGTATCGATTGTTTATCGCTCTTCGCCTTACTACGATTACAGATTCGCTCCTGCACCTTGTGCCGCTCACTAAGTCAATGTTGGCACTTCACGTATAATAAGTCCTTAATTATACTACTCGTTGCTACTATTTGAATTTTCCAGTATTTAGTCAGGTGCAACTCGCATGAAGCGTCGCCTGCGTCTACAGCGGGCAGTTGTACAAGAAGCATGGGCCCAGAAGATTCCCACTGCCTAAATTTGTGCCTACCAACTTCTTTCGAAGGTAAGTTGACCTATGCCTCGAGGCACTCTGCCCGTAATGGTGCAATGAATACAAATTTTAGGTCAATGGTCCTTTCACAGAGAAGCATTAACAGAAATATGTGTACTATGCAGAAAGAGCAAATACTTCAGCCTAAAGAGAAAAATAGTCTTACTACATTAATCATGATGGTATACTATAAAGTAAATGATTTGGATTTGGACTATACCTTCTGAACTATATATGATGTGCTTGCAGCGATGTGAATTCTAAAAGACTCTAGAACACTAAAGCCGCTATACAGTATCTAAAGTCGCTACCTGCATATCTTGGCAAGGGGCTTTTCGAGTTAAAATCTGCTTACCTCTCTATCCTAGATATGATATTTGCATTGCAGTTCCTTTAAACACAAACATCTTTTATTTGACTTAATTCATCGGCTGTAGTAGTATCTTGAAGCGTTTCATGTATTTTTAGTCGACCTATAGTTTTTGAGATACTATTATTCGAAGCCGTAAGGAGTCCTCTTATATTTAGCACTCAGAGCCAGCTTGTATGGGAACGCGTTTAAGAGGGGGTAGCATAATATTGGAGAACGTCAGTAGCACCTGGCGGTCTAGCAAGGATAGCGGTATTTGTTCGTTCCTAGATAAAGCAGGCGTTTATTACAGGGTAATAGTTTTTGAATCACATTAATAATACACAGCCGAAGTTTTATTGTCTGACCTCAGCAAACCCGTTTACTTAAATACCGAGAGCTATGATTTCTTTTCTATTAAACGAGCTCCATTTGTTGTTAGCAAGTTAAGGCAGTTAGGTCAGAGCGGCTGGGAACGCACCAGGCACGCACTTAGATATTATTACAATCATTAGAGGAACATGGTAACAGTTCCTCTCCGTGCTCCCGATGCGGCAACTATAGCCATACTCATTTCTAGCATTCGCTGCCGACTCGACTTTGCTCGTCTCCTGCTAGCTCCTTTCCAGGAGAAAAGGATCTCGTTTCTTTATATAGCATAGTCCTTGTCAAGACCAGGTGATACATGCCCCCTTATGGTTATATTCACCATTGGCGCGATTAGCTATCCCTGCTGCAGCAAAGAACGAATAGGCTATAAGACGCTAGAGGAATACGAGGTCCCTATCCGCGCTGTCATATACACTGACGTGCACCGTCTGTGCGTGCATACACGCCGGCCAAATCGATGCACATGCATACATATACTGTGAAACGTTGAATAACAGCTGTTTTTATGCACTAATATGCCATCGAAATTCATGCTATCATCCGCTGTGACTCTCATCATATTGAGTAATTCGAGACCAAGTGAATATATTCAAGCACTAATAATGAGCGATACGTTACTATCGTCAGTACCCTTCATCATCTGGCGGTAATGGTCACAGTGGTCTTCTGCATTGAGCAGGAGGATCAATGCTTTTTACCTATTACTGTGGCTACCGCCGTATATGTTGCAGCCTCACACGCTGGAGCGGTACTCCGCTTACGTGAATATTCTCTCAAGTCATCTATCTATAGACTGGCCGTTTTCCACTGTGCACTCGCTGCTGATGTCTGTTTATCCATCTCTTGTTGTCTTTTTACCGGTATCTACGCTGTTGGCTGTGATCCATTGGCGTCATCGTTGGTGATACGTTCTACCTGTTGCCTTTTTCTTTTGCTCTCTTTAATGGTCTACCTTTCACTGAAATATTCTTTCTACGTCAGCGAAAACAAAATAAGCTGCTTTCTTCAGTTCACCATGCAGCCTGCTTCGCTCGCGCGCTCCTCGTAAACGGCATTGGATTCAACGACGAGATTTGTTCTTCGATTGACAGTTGAGCTGCAGGCTCTCACGTGTTCGCGGTAGACTTCCACGTGCGGTTTTCGACGTCTGTCCGTACAGCCCTGATTGTCAATCTCCACTAATAAGCAGCCATAAAAGGCACGAAAACGGCCAGAGCAGCGCTGCAAATAAATCTTGCAATGATCACACTGTGCGCTCGTTCGTGTTAGAAATTGACAGATTGTGGCAAAGGTATCATTTATACGAGTAAATTAAAAGCGACGGCAGCACAGAGGCGAACGAATGACGGTACGAGGATCGTTAGAACAGGACTTCACGGTTACAGAAGCCTGAACAAGTGCGCCATCGCATTCACAACCGCCATTCAAATAAAAGTGAAGAATATGGAGTTGGGAATTAAGCATTTCGGAGACAAGGTAGCAGCGGCAGTAACAGGGCCCGTCCAGGCCAAACTAAACGAATCGACGTTAGCAGGCTTAAGAAGGCAGAGAGCAACGCACATCTCACCAGACTATACAGCCAGCTGGCTGACTGCAAGTCGCCATGGAGCGTAGCGCAGTATGATATAGACATATATGATCATATGCTTCGTATTTATGCAGACTGGGTCGGCGTTTAGTAGAACTACCGATAGCGCTGCTACGATGGTGGCAGTGGTACGGGTGGTGTGTAAACCATTTCTGTACTGTTAATGCTGCTCTTACCACCTCTGCTACTATTTGTTGTACTACCAAATGTTGGGAAAGAGCTGGTAAAAGAGGCAGGTCGTCGAGTAAGCTCGGTTGAGACCCGTTCCGAATGTCGGGCGCGGCAGAGAACTTCGAGGAGCATTCGAAGTGACGGGCGCACACACCCACTGACTCGGTGGCGGCGAACACACACCCCTTCTAGTCGCTACCGCTGCGCTCGGTCTTTCTTTCGTCTCTAGCTATTCTTGGCCACATATATGTCGACACAGACAGATACACATGCGCATAGGCACATGTTCAGCGGCTTTAGGTTACAGCATCCACAGTTCCCTCTTTTACTCCGATGCCACTATTTGCCCACATTCCCATACATTGCACTTCCCAATATTCTCTATCTACACGGAAAACGTCAGAGCGGTGTGCAAAATCCATACACTAAGAGTATATGGATTTTGCACACCGCTCTTAGTATATGGAACATACTACTCGCGTCGTGCATGCTGCACTTGAATGCTGTTCTAATCCGTTCCGTTTCCACTCTGTTTTTCACCAGGACCCCCTGATATCGTAACGGCAACGCTCGTATATGTAGGGTTCTACCTGAACTCGCCAGTTCTAGAAACTTAGAGCTAGAGAACAGAATGTTTCCATATGCGATGGATAAGTTGTCCACCTTTCGCTTAGTCTTTTGTTGTACTCAGACTTAGCTCTCTAATTTCATGGTTGGTTAGAGTAAACTTTGAAATTCTGCGGAGCTCGACAAAGGGGGACAGGTTGAGATTAGCTGCTAACGTAACGCATACGCGAACAGTACAGGACTGTTGGCCGAAGACCATGGTAGACCGGCCAGCTAGGAAGAACCTGGCGTGGCTAGCAGTAATAGCGCTAAGCGGCCGACTCTATCAGATGACAAGGATCTGCCCGGAATGTCCCTGGCCGACGAAGACCAACCCCATAATGTATACAAAGAAAGATCGTTTGTGAGGTAGTACCAAAAAAAAAAGGAATCGCGGGCGTACCAAAGTAACAAAGCAAGCACGATTTATTACACAGGCCTCTGCTTATTCACTTGTTAGCCTATCTCGTCGTTACGCCTGTTGTCGTCTCTGTTTTATGCTCGAAAATAAAGCTTAGTTTGTTATGAGCGTACGAGTTACGAACTAAAGTTTATATAGACTACGGTAATGTCAATGGTGGCGTCGATTTAGTTTATTGAAGCGTTTACAAACAAAAATAATTTTAAAAAAAAACCTAGGAAAATAAAGGTGTGATATTAAAGAACAGCGCTACGATATCTACACTCCTCGAAAACCTCGTTTCTCGGTTAGTAGGGCACTGCACAGGATCCTATTGACTAGCCGTCAAATAGGTGTCATGCCCGCAGCGGGGCTGATAGAGCTCGCCAAATCAAAGACAGCAGACGACCGGGTGGCTCAAGTCGGCTAGCAGACACAGGCGTAGCTTTTTGACACAAAACCGGCTCTGTAATGGCGTTTTCTGTGCCGATTCATTTCATCATGTCGTGCTCTTTTAGTTTTCTTTGCTGTAGATCAGTAGTTCCGTGTCCCTCTCTCCTACTTGTCCAATCCTCGAGTTGATTTTCCTCTTAGCAACGCCTAACGTTCCATCCAGAGCCGTTCACAGCTACGGCCTTGTACACTCACTGGTTCATCTTATTTTTCCTTCCATCTTCTTTAGCCACCGCTATTCCTGCTTCTACTACTGCAAAATGAGATCCTCTGTTTCGACTCCTGAACTCTATCAGATTCGACCACGCGTTCTCGACGTTCTCTCGAACACAAATGCGTCTGCATTTCGTGACAAGGAGAACATACGTAAGCGAAGGGCGTGCGGGGGTGAAAGAGAGAGAGATAGGCGAAAAGAACGACGAAGTACGCGGATAACGGAAGGGTCGAGATGGGCCGAGATGGGCCGAGCGCAGCAGCTGCCGAACGGGAACCGATCGGAAAAGAAGGGATGCGGCACCAGTAGAAGAGATTTCTGGACAGTGTATAAGCAGATGCATTACCGATACTTTTTTCGAACCATGCCAGTGTCAGGCAAAGCACTCACAGGTCAAAAGTGACAGGCAGGTGCGCCTTGACAACGAAAATTTCCCGCTGAGGCGCTTTGCTGTGCTTCTGAATCACACAAGAACACTGAACATGCGCTTACCCTCTGTGGCTATATGTTTTGCACTTCAAAGGATCTTGGCCATGGTTCAATCGGTATGTCGACATTGAAGTCAAGCCAGAAATGAATTGCGGGATTTCGTGGCATCCCAAGGGGGCTAAAGTTCATCCAAAAGCAAAACTTGGAGTAAGAGATGACCACGACAACGTGGCATACAAAGATAAAACAAAACTCCAAAAGAGAGCTAGCTAGCCAAAGGATAAACTTAGACTTTGCTTAAAGTCGCTATGACTCCCATTATTTTATTTATTTTCTTTCAAAATAGGTTTCAATACGAAACGATACAGCTATTCAGCTAGCCAAAGAAAGATGTTACATTTTTTTGAAACAACTACTGTTTCGCTATTTCTTTGTGAGCCCATCAGATAAATCTAGTATGGCTCGCAGCAACAATATGTAAAAAATCGAAATATTTCGCGGCGTCCTTATTGCCCATAGAATTTGAAATAGTGCACATTCGATCAAACGTGTGTGGCAGAGGCGCCGCCGCTCGGTTCTGCCGATTCGAGGTCGCTTGGGTAGCAACTTGCCTAGCGCATTTCCTATAGACAGAGAAACCCTAAAAGTAGTCATACCATTAGTACAAAGACTCTGGTAATAATTGCTGTCCCGGCACACTTGCCCGCCGTTTATGAAACGACAGTCGCTGGGCCCTCCAGATGCAAGCCAGTGGCCCTCTTTTTGCACGCTCGCTTCTCCAACCAACGGAGCATGACGAAAAAAGGCCAGTACTAAAAGCAGCGGCAGCGACGATGGCGACCATATCAGAAGTAGCAATGACCTCTAATTAGATCCGCAAGGAATAGGACACAAGCTGTAGGGACGCAGGCTCGCAAAGTATACCCGTGGTAGGCATGCAAACCAAGCTTCCAAGCGCGGAATAGCAGGCATGCCGAAAACAGGCCACACAGGCTACCAGCAGTGGCACGGTCACTGACTGTCTATGGGATGCTAGTACACTGCATCATCACTCATCGATGGCGCCGCGATCGTTGTGAATACCGGACTTCGTCAGCAAGAAAATATGAGTATACATCGCGAGGCTAACTGACTACATAGGAAGCTATGTACTATTGTCACAACCATGAGCATTTCAATGTGGGATTTACAAGTCGTTTGTTACTTAGGTTTTCTATAGAAGCATTGGTCAATTTGTGGGAAGTGCTGCTGCACCTCTTACTAGCGTCACGTATCATCCATTTTATTTCATCGTACGTTAGGGTTCAAACTAAGTACGAGCTAAATTTCCCAGATTCCCATATGAAGTCATTGTGCGAGCACAGCGGGTTTAACCCTTACTTTTTGGTTGCGGGGCAATGTGCTGAAGGGTTGACCGGCTTTTGCGAGTAAAATTATAAAGCCGGCTGGGGTAGAAGGAAGCTTTAGTAGATGCCTCGCTGCGCGCATCTAAAAAAGAACTACCTCTTCGCTATCTTAATCCCTTTGTAGAACGGCTTCAAAAAAGAAATTTGTCGTCGTCCATACTCCAACATTCAAAGCCAGCGATGGTGGCTTACAATGAGAGTGCCGATGGGTCGGAGTCAGTGCTGGCTTCTAAAGGGATAGCGTCTCACGAAGCATCGAAGGTTAGGTATTTGGGACGTCTATTGTATAGAACAATATCGGAAAGACGGGGTGTACTTGCCTTCTTGTGTGGAGAAACTGTTATTCTGAACGAGGAGGGACATAAATTTGAAAGCTGTCGGCCAGGCTGCAGCACAGTCAACGAGTGTCCAAAACAAATTTTATGAAAAGTAGACAAAAATGGGTTCAGTGTGTTTGTTGCAGACCAAAGGTGTACGGTGAAGGTTAACCCACACACGAAGATGCTGAAAACAGCTTCAAGGGACTGTTATAGAAATCATATGGAACTTACGATAGAGGCTCACAAATAGACATACTGTTTTGTCTAATGTCACTTGCTCTGGATAAGGAGTATGAGTTATAATAGAAAACTAACATGCAGCGCTCATTCGTGTGATGCCGACTCTTCGTACATAGATATCAAACGGTACTTGCTGTTTGGTGTTCATGTTATTCCCATAACAGGATTTCCATTTCGTGGCAGTCTGTGCAGGGTAAGATCCCAGCATCCGGTCGGCCTTTGGCTTTTTCTCATCACACTTTTACTAAGCTGATTGGCATTTCCTTATTGCTCGGCGTATGTGCTTCCTGATCCCCTTCATTCTCACGAATCGTGAGCTAACCTAGATCTGCTTTACATCCCGTGTATCGCATTCCGTCCAGGAAAAAAAATTTGGCATTTTGTTTCCTCCGGTCTTCTCTTACTCTGCTAGCCACTTTTAAACGATAAGGACAATAACCACAGTGTCCAGGTATTAAACAATAATTGATGCGGTATTAGTACATATTTTGCACACACAAATACCTCTATTTTTTATATTGCTTTATGATTACACCCGACGGCTGCCTATATCAATTTGATACAGGAAGACAAAAACCCATTTACCCAGACAGAATTCGATGTCTGGTACGGCGAAGCTGCCGCGGCCTGTATAGTGACCGTATTCAATTATAACTCGCTATATCTTGGGCAAAACAGGAGCGGGCAACAGAATGTAAGGAAATGATGGAAGCGATGAGTGTGCAACTGAGATAGGCCAGGACCATGTTGGATTGGCGCTAGCTAATGTCAGTAAGATGCTGCCGGCGCCAGCGAGAAAGAAGGTGGGCAAACGAAACGTATTGACCTGGGTCGGCGAACGGAAAGGAAGACTAAGCTGAAGTAGCAGCAACAACGATAAAGGAAGTCGTGTGTGTTCACGATAGTGGTATTAGAAATGGACCAAATCAAATCCCATTTGTGACATTATCCAGAGCCGCATATACCCCAGTAGCATACGTGCGAACTCCACTGATAGAATCTGTCGTATTGTTGTTGCAGTTTGTACAGCTGGTATATCTACATCCCGTCTACCCGTTTACTAGAAGCAACTTAGTAAGCTCAGAAATATAGTAGACTGTTTTGTTAGCAGAGTCAAGTTAAATCCAACCCGACAACCAGACCAGGCACAGACCATATTGTCCTGTTAGGCAAAATGTACCAAGGCTGGTCCGACCTTACGAATAGCTTTTCGAAATAGGACACTTACACTGGAAGAACGTCCCTTGCTGCAGGCAAGAGAGTAGATTTAACTCTCATTTTATTTAGCACAAGGAGCAGCAGCAGCAGCAGCAACGGCCAAAGTAGTGGTACAGAGAGTACGGAGGATTCGCTGAGCGGAAGCGCTATTGCGAAAGCAAACGTAAAGCAGAAAGACAGCAGACGTTGCTGTCCAGCTGAGTTGCCGATACGGAAAGAGGCAATTGTGTCGTTTTCGACTGGTCTCCGCCGTGTCGCTGCGATCGATCACAATAAGCTTGTATCTCTGAAGTCTGCCTTGATCGATTCTCTCTAAAGTCAACTGATCTCACACAGTCCCAGGCTCGTCGCCCACTCTTTCATTTTTCCCGCTCCTCTCGTTCGACTTCCCTACAACGACAAAGGCAAGGCAGCAGCGCTAACAAATTTCACGTCATTGGACGCATAGACACAGGTGAACCAGGAACTAACCGGAGGTATAACGTCCGCATCCTATTGCCCAGAGTCGAACGGCAGCCACTAAATCTCGGACTAGTTATCCACTAGAATCATTTGGCGTTATTAGCATTGTGTCATTCATTTTAAATGAGGAAACCGTGTTGCTTTGACGGATCCTTTCGGTGGACGAACCGAAAGATGCAATTCAGCGGTTAATTTTGTTTCGCTCTGGGTTCGGTTCCGCTGCTTACCCACCCAACGCTCCTGAATTTGATATTCCTGTTGATAGCAATCGGCATTTGATACCTGGCACTCTTTTCTCATTTGACGTAGGCGCTTTCGGCGGATTGCTATGTGCGTGTGTTGTCACTCGTTCTATTCAGCCATCTATTTGCTTATATCAGTTACTTACCAATTGAAACACGAATTCTTTCGCCAGCGGCGCCCGTGCTGCCGGCGTGCACCAGCGGCGACACCACGTACCACAGAAATCCAGCTAGAAGGGGCCGCATTAGTACGAGTTTGTTTGTGCACCAGTAGATTACCTTTCAATTAACGTAGTGCGCTCCTTGCCGTGGCTGCGAAGCGCCGTCCAGGGATGCACACGTATACGTTAAGAGACACAAACACCATATACGACTGTTCACGACGACGACGACAACGGAAACAACAAGAACAAGAAGAAGAAGAAGAAGAAGAACAACAACAACAACAACAACGCTGGTCGGTCCGCTGAGTTGTACTGTATATTAGGTAATGGCTTGATATCGTCGTGGTTGTTTGCTACTGACTGACGTGGTCCGGGTTCAAACTACCGGCAAGTACTGTATAGAAGGCCGGCAAACCAGATTTGCTGCCTCTCACAGAGGTAGTGACATGCAGCAGCATGACGAACGACAACACACCGAATCAAAGTACGTCAACCGGCGCAAGGCCGAGAGCCAGTTTGCCTTTGCGAAAGCAACACGCGGTCGGCGCTAACCGGACTCCAAGTCCCTTTCCCTTTACCACCATCAGCGCCCTCCCCTCACAACCAGCGACGGCGGCTGCTGCCGCCTATGGACCAAGGAAGTAAGTCGCATTTGGTTAGTTGTATATTTTGCAAAAATGTTTGCTTCTCCCTCAAGTAGCACCAACTGCAACTCATCCGTCCCTACGTTTTGGTAGGGTACCAATCCTAATCCCTCTCTTCATTTCTACCGTTACCAACAGAGTGGGAAGCGATCAGAAAAGGTGCAGGCAACGAGGGTCGCATAAAGAACGGCGGAACGAACAGAAATCAGATCGTTGCACCAGGTGGGATAAAGCGCGGTAAACTGTTCGTCGCATACGGGAGGTTGCCTTCAGTGATGAAGCGGCGTGTGTAGGTCACCCAGCATGGCTTTCCTCCTCTATTCAATGGCGACGCTAGGAACGGTGCCGACGGCATCGGCAGCTGAGAGCGACGAAAACGCGAACAGTGTGACAAGGAATGGACAAGAAGAGACCAAGCCGCACGAAGATCGCGAAGAAGAAGGGTGCCAAAATAGCGCCGGAGAACAGAAGGTTAAAGAAAGTTTTTGTCGGTAAGGAAAGGAGAATATTACCATGGAAACGTGTAGACAGGCAATACTAGAACGAAAGGAAAAATGCTTTTAAAAAGCGGCCTTGTTCCCTTCACGCGCTTCTTTTTCTTGACTGCTAATGGAGACAAGCCATATAAGCAACGGCTGACGGAATTAAGAACAGCAGCAGCTAATAGAACTGTAGGTATAGTGCCTGAAAAACTGCGCGAACACCTAGACAACAAGAAACTGTCACATCGTATTTTCTTCATTCTGTGATGTTGTCGTGTATTTCTCTGCAACAAAGTTCCGGCAAATGAACAGTCTGTCTTGCCTGGTCTTATTGCCTGGGAAAAACACTCACATGCGCATATGCGCAGTAGATTTAACGCATTGACCGGCATTGAGCTGTGTCTATCAATGGGTGCAAGATCAGATACGAACCGTCTGCATCCAATCGCCGATACAACGGTTAGATGACATAGCAGTGAGAAAAAGAAGACAGGCGGGGAAGGAGGACTAGTAAGGAGATTAGATAAGCGGGAAAGTGAGATTCAAAAGAAACAAAAACGAGTGCGCCGGCAATGGGCACGACCAAGCCGATGGACGGAGAAGATTGTGCGGAGTGATTAGATGGCAGCAAGGATTGCGCATGCAGGTCATGCAAGGAGACCAAGCTGATCTTTTCGAGCTGCTGGTGGTCTAATTAAGCTTTCTCGTTTCCGTTTATTTGTTATGCGAAAGCGGCTTTTCGTCTCCATAGTAGCTTCTTTTTCTTTATGTCCTCAGTTGCTCTAACTCTTTCGGGCTGATTCTTTCTCGTACTCTCGCGAGCTCATGCACTGACGTAGACGTGACTAGGGGAGTCAACTTCTGACCGCACACACGCTCGTATCCACACCTGCTTATACTGAAACACATACAATGGCATAGCTGTATAATAATATAATGGTGTAAAAACATACATAGCAGCTAGACTGCCATTGCTGTTACCGCCGCTGCCTCCAGTTTTTCCATGAACATAACTGTAGCACGGCAAACAGAAGACAGGCTTTGTGAGCCCCTAGGCCGCTTAACACACAAGCTGGTGCATAGAACCGAGTAAACATGCCAACTAAAATATACGCCTTCACTGCTCCACGATAAGGCACAAATGAGTTACCTGCTAGTCCCTTTGTTTGTCGGTTAGGGGCACGAAATTTTTCAAATCTTCCCTTTGCGCGGACGACAAGTTAGCTGAAGCTCTTTCGCCTTAGAACCTTTTCGGCAATTTTTGTCTTTAATTCACAAATTTGCCGACCTTTTTCTAAAAAGACAACGAAACACACGTAAAAACCTCTAGGTAGCTGCCTTGTGGCTACCTGCTCCTTAACAAATAGTAGTGCCTCACAGAGTAAGTCGATATTTTGGTTCCTGGTTGAGTTTTGGGAACGCAGGATACATCTGAATTGGGCTAGGCTTTGAATGGCCTAGTTCGAACAAGTGATTTATTTTTCGAAATATTCTCATATTAGCTGCAATCCGTAGCTGCAATCTTTCAGTCAAAAAATTTTTATACCAACAGATTTTGCGGATCGAAAATTATTGTTATCATTAGAAGAGCCTTCCGCGTCCTTTGAAATGTGCTCGTCAACTAATTGCGTACCTTGATGCCGGGCCGTTCACCAAAATACGCAGAGGAATTGACGCATTGGATTACTGTGATCCTGAGTCGAAGAGAATCTACTTAACCTAGAGAACTCTCGTGGCGAAGTTTCACCGCTTCAGCCTTTCGTACGTTCACTTTGAGTGAGCTTCATCGGAGTATCTTTCAGTTCGTCGTAAATTAGTTTTATTCAGTATGTAAATCGCTGATGATTACTGAGATTAGCAGTGGACTTTCAGTGTCATTTCGAGACATCCCTATGGCCTGCCGAAAAAAATCGAGCTCAGTAGCTCCGTCGTCTAGAACGACCTCGCTTGCCTGGCCAATATTCCCAAGCAAGAAGCTCCATGATGTTTTGGGGGTAATTTAATTCGAGCTGGCTTAAAGAGTGTAGAATTCTTAGGAGCCACGCCAATGAATGTTGAAGATCAGCGAATATTGCATGCAAATACTGACATGGACTGCGTTCCAGGAAAATAGAGTTTACAGGTTAGATCAAATGCTGTTGTCAAAACCCGTGTTATTCTTCTGGAAGAGTGCTCCTGAACTCAAGGTATGGCGGAAAGCGGCTTGTGAATAACTGGGAGGAAAATTAAATCTATTTTCAGCGATGCCCCACACCTGAAGGTCTATTTAGACTACGACCACTCAGAAGTTTTCCAGAAACGCTCTGTGATCCAGTACTATTTGTGTTATTATGAATAGAAATTGTTGTCGCAAGACAATACGTGATCTATCAGAAAGAAGGTCCTGTCAGCTCAGATCCGCAGCTAGGATTTCTGCAATGTGTATTCGAATATCATATAAATAGCTACCTTGACATGCAAATGTGTAATTTAGTAATCAACTCCACTATACTGATTTAACTTGCGGATACCTTTGAAGAATACAAACTAGTAACTTCCCTCGCAAGTGGGACAATGTCTGCGAACGACACGTACATTTGTGTATCGCATGTAGAAAGCATACTTCATAACTAAGCTTCAGATGCGAGCGTCATACGAGTTTCAGACGCAAGACCCAGCTGCCCAGAACGGCCCGCAACAATTATTAGCCAATAGCAGCATCACGAACGTCAATGATGTTAGCACATCTAAACTTACAACTGAGCAAACAACCGAGTGACGGACCGGATGGACGAGACACAGATGTATCCCAGCTATGAAAATGATGAGCAGGTTAATAGTGACAACACTGATGATGAGATGAAGCGTGGGAGCGACAGCGAGAAAGCGGAGGCTACGATCTAGACAGACCGCTTCTGCAAGTACGGCACTCTAGGGCATACTTCAGTTGCTGAAAAGAGCCAACGGCAAAAACCGTAACTATATCTATTGGTATTATCAGCAATATTAGACCGTCCCATATATATAATAGCTGCTCACATGCAATCGAGAATTTATCTAATTGTCTAAATCCGTGACATTAAAATAAGAAGCAGAGATAAGCAACAAGTGTCCTGAATTTATCTCGAGAATCGGCAGAATTATTATACATCGACTGGAATACTTGATGTTCTAATCACCTTATAAATATATCCACAGTTGCTTTTAGCAACATGATCATAAAGATACCAGTTGCAGACGAAAAATCCCCAGATCACACATTGTAGGTCTCCTCGAAAGGTTTTCTGATGGTATAGCGAGAGAAGAGTCTAAAACGTGGGTAGATCACATAATTTCGCCTTTAATTTCTCATAACGAATATGTCGGCGAATGGGGTTACCTTAATAACAATATAATCTCATGAACTATTATCTTGTTCCTGTGGCCATTCATTTTCTGACAACCAACTTCCTCCTGTTGAAAAGTAATCGCCAGTATACGAAATTATGGATGTGGATAAGTTCTTTAAACAGTATTCTACAGTAGATCCTTATGGGCTGCTTTTTAGGGAAACATTTCATCGTTCCACCGGCCTCCAGCCGGAGCTTTTTCGGCGGCATTTCATCGCTTTGGATATGCTCTTGACAAGTGAGGAAAACGATATGTCAGTGATTAAACAAATTAACGACGTAAAGATACATATGATAAGGTACTGAAAAAATATCAGTCAAGTATTAGTCGAAGTTCAAGGCTAAGGACAGCTACAACAGTACAACGAACCAGAGATCCGTAACTATAATACACGTTAGTGCAGAAGCCTTTGAAAAATGTGTAAAACTTCAGCTTGAAACTCATATGTTCAATGTATTTTTTTTCTCAAATTGAAATGGAGCCTTACGATCTCAAGACGCGTTGAAACGAGCACAATGACGAACACGGTATATAATACATACCGCTACAACCACACACATGGGGCATGTACCTTGAATCATTGCATGTGTTTAAAAAAAACGTCGAAAGAGAGTCGAACGTTTTCGCCTCAGCTAACACCAGGCATTCAGATGTTCAACATAGCGTGATAATTTCCTTGGGATCTAGATAATCCAGTTCACTGCGACTATGTTAGCTGAAACAAATGGAAACCTGTTATGGCCAGCGTATCGCTTGACGCAAACCAGGTAAGCGAATATTCCGTAGTCTAAACAAAAGAAAAATCGTGTATGTGCTTTTCTCGGACTATCCGGAGGACCCCTGTATAGGGTTTGATCATTTTGTTGTACTTGGGTTTGACTTTCCAAAGAAAAAAATAATTTAATAGAAATCAAATAGCTACGAAAATGCATGCATGTTTATGTTTAAAAACAAAAATAATAACATTTAGTGAGAAGTATACGCCTTAATAAGAGTGATCGATTTTAAATACTATGCTACTGTGCAGCATTGAATAGAAGCCCCGTGGAAGTTTATGCGATAAAGTTGGTGCAAATTTAATAAATATAGAGAAGGAACTCAGTGTTCCTGGAATTTTAGCATGTGCAAATATCCCTTATAAGATGCTTCGTAACGTTGCCATCCGAATGTAGCGTAACAATGCCAGGCGGTTGATAAATGCCAACAGCTCCAAGCAATCAATGATATGAGTCTGCAATGATAATGGTAATTATTATAGTCATTATATAGCTTCATACGGGTAGAAGCGTGCATGTATAAAAATGTATATAGAAAAAGAGTTCTAACGATGCAACAAAGTCGAAAACATTAACACTTCTTCGAGGCAAACGTTATTACGTGTACAATGGATTTGAACCTGGTGCCTGAACCTGGTGTCCTAATATTTTTACTTTAAAAAAGGCTTTAGATAATTCGATTTTGCATAATGGCCCTGGAGGACTATGTCTTTCATGATGCTTGTTATGCCTACCGCTCATTTTTTCGGGGTAATAATATAAATTAACAAATTGGGCTCAAAGAACGTCATACATGGCACTGCATTGCATTTTATTTTCAAATTAAAATAGATTATATTTTAGAAAAAAAATAATGGCTTAGTACAATTCGGGATGAAGGATCACTGAGCTTCTCGTCTGTTTAAAGGTGGTTTGATAAATCGTTGCATCTTTTAATGCAACAATCGCGTTTGAGTTAAGCTGCATTACCACGCGGTTTACCCGCTGATTTTGGATCTACTTTGGACCATCCGTTCAGATCGATGTAAAACACTCTGTTCAAAGAGCGGTATTCCAATTTTACGGAACGAACGCAATTAGTCTGCAACTGTTACACCAGGATCTAAAGACATTTTTATCTCTAGAAGACCTACTACTCTTCTCGTAATTTTCCTAATATTATACTTCGTGAATAAATCTGCAGGTACAATCATATGGTTAAGCAGATTAGAATCAGAAATCTTTCGATTTCAATTCCCCAACACTACCGTCTATTCCGTCCCATGGGACATATCGAGCAGTACGTCCGTAAATCATAACTCTAATTATTGCGGTCATTAAGGTCTGTGCACTATTTTAGAAAATAAAGTTCAGCATTAGTAAAAACAGACGCCATAATTTATGTATACGCTCAATATTACAGTTGGCTTTACATTTGGTACTTACCTGCCGGTACTTAACCCGGGCCATCTATTGGACTCCTGGAACCAGTAAATAAAACCACATGACACATTAAATGCCGGAGCAGGATGGCTTATTCAGAAGCGGTTTACACATTACGTCGGCCTAATGATGGCGTGGGTTCGACTCTCGCTGAGAGCCAAAGGATTTTTCATACAGAAACCTTCGTAGTTTCGCAGGTGGCGGGGAGCTAAGGGGATTAAAGTGAACTCAACTAGGTCGTGGGCTTCTCCCGCCTTGATCTCCGTAGTAACACTCAATGGTTTAGATTAAAGGCGATTCAATACGTAAAGAGCAGATGTTATAAGGAGAAACAGAATGTTTATAAAGCGTAATTAACGCGATTGACTACGTACTAGGAAAGACCGTGTTGCGTTTAAGGTCATACAAGCCAAATCAGTTGTACAATAAGCAAAACCCTGTCGAACTTCGCTGTGTTTACAAAATGCAAATGAGTTACTTATTAGAAGAGAAGCAGCGGTTTTTAAGTTAAAACTTGACAACAACATTCGGAGGGTCCGTTGTTCCTACAAAGTATTATATCTTCAAAACCACTTGTTGTGCTTTTATTGCTTTCTAAGTTTAAAATGCTTGAAGTTTTACATTCAGTGTACCCGAAAATCCGTTTCAAGTAAAACGGGCGAGCTAATAACAAACTAGAGTACATAATGAACAATTTCAATGACATACATAGGTCCACAACAGACACAAAAATAGTCGCAAACTTTTGAAAAGATAAATATTTCAACTGGTTCTTGTTACAGTCGCGCAAAAGCATAGTCTTATCGTCGAACAAAACTAGAGGATGCCCAGATAAAATCGCACTGCAAACAAAATGTAATGTTTTTTTCATACGAAAAATATCATCCATCTGAAGCTTCCGAAATAAAAAAAAAAAATGAAAAAATAAAAATTATCAAACCTCAGACACGACTTTGCCTAGCGGTTACGAATATTTTGAGTAGAGGTGTTCCTAGATCAGTTCCTAGTTCTGAAATCAGTCTGTCATGCCCAGAACATCAACAGGTTTTTCTCATGGAATAATATTTGGGTGCGGCAAATGTCTGAACGATTTATTGTGTCCTTTCAACAAGATAGAAGTAGAGAAACACAACTATCACTAAAATGTATATGCTTTTGATACAACTAAATACTTTCGTCTAAGCTCTAATGTAACGTCATAGTACATATATTATAGTTTTATGTAAATGATGCATCGAACTATTTTCTTCCTTAGGTCTGCGTTCAAGAAGTTATTCGTAGAATAATTCATAAGTTCGACAAAAAACAGGAGAAAAAGACAAAGTTACTGAGCGGCATAGGTAACTATGTACGTAAGACTATTAAGCTAGAAAACATGTAAGAACTGAAGGGGGAAGACCTCACTATTACCAAAATATTACACATCAATTCCATATCGCTATCCGTTCAGAAACACTAACACGCATATATAAAATACGACATCTAAATTGGCATAGGCCTCGACACGCTGTTTGTCGTAATGAGCATGCCCCCTTTAATACCATTATCATGCCCATATTAATTATTTACTTGCATATTTTATATACAGTTTCTCCGGGAGTGCTTCAATCAGTTTGCGTCAGAATGCAAGAATTCTTCTCATTTGTAGAGTTAACTTTCAATAAGGTCCTAAGAGAGGGCCCGGCCCGTCTTGCTGATCGTCGCGAATTAAACATTAGGGGTTTATAAAATACCGTAGGGACTATACGTCGCCAGCAGCAATTTGATGCTATGTAGTATTATATTTGCCGCGGTCAACCTTTTGCCGAAGGTATAGACAGTCAGCGTTAGAGCTACTGTTGCTTGTCTCGCCAAGAAAAGCATGCTCGTAAGGCGAAACGAAAATGCACAGTACATTTAATAACAATATAAACTCCAAGTCTAAACGGTTTGTTCACGCTAATAGATTGACCTCATTCACTTAATCCAATGATCGCAGAACACCCCAACAAAACAACTGTGATTTACGACATCATAGAAATGATGATAAAGCATATCGGAGCGTGTAATCTGCTTATATATGTGCTTATTGAAGTGCACAATCAACGGTGGTAAAGGGACCTTCAGAGGAGGTAATAGCATACATAGCCAACGAAGCTTTGCAGCTTTCTTCAAATTTGGCCGATGTAAGGCCAGCAAACGAACTGTCTGAAAACACTAATAGTCGTGATCGATTCGTTTTTTTGTGTTAGCACATAAATCTAATAGACCGTCGAGGGCTGAATTCACCTATATGCATATATGAAGGTAAAGTAGAACCCCGCTTGCAAGAGCCTGGATTTTCATGCTGCAATATATCAGGACACAACATCGGCCCAGATCGCGAGCAACCAAAGCAGCAACCAGCAAAGGCCACCTTCTAAGAACGAAACAACATGAAAATACGACTCGCTGGGAGCGAGATATCTGAAAACATGAGGCTATATCACCTCGACTGGTCGGCCTAAATCTAACAACCCTAGTAAAAATAGGGAAATAACCACAATGGAGTTGTGAGCTGATAAATGAAAACAAAAATCCAGCTGTATATGAACAACGTAGCGCAGGCTAAATATCGACAATCGGACACGCATGAGTCGTCGGCTTTTGCGCCGGATGACGGCCATTTACCAGTTCATTAGAGTTGAAATTTATAAAAAAAAGCTATAAAACATAAGCATTGATGGTGTACATACAAACATAAGATTGATCGGATGTGGAATGTTCGATTACGGCCATACACTTGAACTGTATCTCAGGATGTCATGAAACGCTTTATGAAAATCTGATGAAAGTATAGCGTGCAACAGTGAACACTTAGAGGAGTACTAGTACTGTTACAAGATCGCTACCATATCTTTTTTCTATCGCTCTGAATAAGCTAGCTATTGTCATCCAATTACAGGGGAATATTTAGTTAAACTCACACTAGGATTATTTGCAGTGCGTAGGGTGAAATCCGTGATAATTTTTGAATAACCATAGAATCGCTTGGTGAATTGTTGAACAGGTTAAAAATAGACGTCTCGCATAAAAATCGCACCCAGATGTGCGTCGTAAAGCTATATTATAAAAAGGGGCAATTTGCCTTACAAAAAACTTGTTTAGTACACTTAAAAAATGAAAGGTGCTATATCCGTAATTTGTTTAAGTAACGATTAGCTTGAATTAAACCAGAGGAAAACGCGAAAATAGCGACCCTTCTTTAGGTCGCATTTCGAAGCTCGTAAAAACTAAACAATGCAAGGAAAATCTTAAATATTTGGCTTTTCATTGAGCCAGGGGCACTGAAACGTTTTCGACAAACTCCTCTTGAAGGTGCGCAATCTGAGCTTCGAACCTTGAAAAGACCTAAAACGACTGTAACAAATGTCTTGAGGCTGGGCTATTAGCTCTATAGGGCTTAATATTTCCTTAGCCCTTGATTTTCAGAACATACCTAGGAAAATACTATTTGCCAAAGTATGAATATGTATTCACGAGCAGTGAACAAACGTCATTGTTCATTGGAAGTACAGCGGTGTCAATCATTGACGTGTGCATTAGAAAATCACGCGATTAACTCTTTCTAGTTAGCATCTTCTATGTTTCAATAAAGGAAATTAGCGGATCGCGGAATCTTATGGAGGGATTCATTTTGAGATATTTGAGTTATCTA